CTCCAACACCGAGTTCCACCCGCAGTGAGTCACGAACCCCCCCACCGAGTCGTGACTCAGAATCTCCGCCTGTGGGGCCCAGTCCCGCACCACCAAACCCTTCCCCTTGGTCCTCTCCACAAACCCCTCCGGCAGCAACTCGTCCAAACTCGCCGAGTCGCACTCGCTCCTCACAACCCACAGAAACCTCGCCTCGCTCTTCTCCAACCCAAACCCTATCTCTCTCAACTGAGCCCTCGAGAATCTCCCCATGCTCCCGAAGCACAACAACACCACGCTCTGACTCGGTTGCGAGTCAAGCCAACTCATACAACCTTTGTCTTCTTCCCCACACGGTGAAGATATCACAGGTCCGATACAATACAACGGTGGAATATTCTCATCCTCGGTTAACGCTTTGATAGGGTTACCCTCAATGGCTTCGAACGTGTTTACTAGAATCCCAACACTACCCTTCATGGTTTCCCCTATGCTAAGGAACATGTTTAAACTGGGGTTAGAAGGGTCCTTGGCTTCATTAGGAAAATCTTCTGTGGAGAGAGTGGGTAGCCCCGGGATATGAATCTGCATGGGGTTGTCTTTGAAGTTTTTGCTGGATGCGTTTCGGTGAATGGTTGGGAAGAGAAGCAAAACCGCGAGGGTTGAAGCACCAGAAGTGTAGTAGAAGTAAACGGGGACGTTGAGGTTGTGCGTGAGGGTTTGGGGGTCATTGAAGTTCATGAAGTCCATGACGATGGCTTTCAGGTTGGAGGCTTTGGCGAGGGTTCGGAGTGCGACGGCGACGTTTTGCGTGCTGTGGCGGGAGAGTTCGAGGGAGAGGAGGTGAGCGGGGAGGGAGGGCACGTCGGAGGAGGGGAGGGGGCGGAGGGGGATGCGGTGGAAGGTGATGGCGGGGGTGGTGGCGGAGACGGCGGAGATGTAGTGGGCGTTGGAGTCGGCGGCCATGGTGGTGGTGGTGGTGGTGGTGGGAGGGGTGAGGATGAGGATGGTGATGGAGAGGGAAGGGTGGTGGGTGAGGATGAGTTTTCCTAGCTCCACCATGGACACTAGGTGGCCTCTTCC